ACAACGCTCCCATCTGAAACTCAGTGCGCAATGTCGTAGAGCTTAGCAAAAATATATCTAGCGTTACGCCGAGTTTATTGTGCTGTTGAGTGTTTAGCATTAAACATAAATGAATTTATTGTTATATTTTAATATTTATTGATATATTTTACCTTTTTCTGCTATCCCATAATCATGAAAGAAAAGGCGTGTCAAGCGCGACAAACCGTGTGCATGGGCTTGCTTCAATTTTTTGGGTAATGTAGTTTCTAATTGTAAAAAAAGACAATTTATTGATAATTCCTCATAAAAAAAACATTTAAGAAAAAGGAATTTATAGACTGCGTTAACCTGGACAATAATAAGCAAGATGGTACCCTCAACACGAGTATTAGGCGATGGAAAAGCTGGATGTACAGTATCGAGTAATTTTTTTTCATTTACTTATTTTTTTTCAATCAATTTTACTTATTTGTCTCTCCTCAACAATTCAAATTTCAAAAAATACACCTCTTAAAAATCTAGCTCTTCCAATGACTTTAGAGCTACAATATTGAGAGGTATATCATTCGATTTCTAAAGAGAATAACTTGCGACTCTACAATCTTTTTTATTTATCTATTGTTTGCATTATATATCGTAAAAATATAAGGAAATGGTGGCGAAGGGGGGGGGGAAGATGGGAAAAGTCTTCTAAAAACATTTGACGAGGGGCTTCTATACAGCTAGAGTATAGAATATAAAGTATTGCGACTATAGAGTCGCTAGATATTTGCATTACGAATCGAATGATAAGTTTCTCGTTCTTGTAAACGACGTAAATGGAAAAGACTAGCAAATTAATAAATCCTTCTTTTCCCCCGTTTTCTATACGTTTCACGTTTTCTTTTATTTTCTCAAATAATTCATACAACAAGTTCGTGTATTAGTCTTTTACATGTGCATGAAGTTAAAGAAAGGTCAGTCTGAAAAAAAAAATTTTCTGACCCAGAAGGTCTCCTTGAGGAGTTTAAGAATGTAGTCAATCAATAACAGTCTGAGATGTCCTATGGCTTCCGTGTGTTTTTAGGTAAGCTCGCTCTATCCAAAAGGCAAGCTTTTACAAAATTTTCCTCGATTGCGATTTAGTAACTTCGAGCCACACGTGTTGTCCGACAGTAGATCTGGAAAAATCTCTGTGATTTCACAGAAAAAAGTCAGTTCATAAGTTATTTATTGCAGCGCAAAAATAGCAGGTAAATTGAGTGATTATGAATAATTAACAGAAGCAAAGAAGGTTGCAGTATGAAAGGCTGAAAACGCTCTACATGAATTTAGCCCTTTAATGTAAAGGTTCCAATAATACATAAACATTTATAATGAATACTTTTAAGATACCATAATGATCGTGATTGACTTTATTAAAAGTAACGCCGATGAAGGCTAAATTTTCATTGGTTACATTTTGCAGTCATTTAAATTGCGTTTATTCTTTGTTTATTTGATTGGGTCGCAGTATGTCCGATGGGAACTGGCGAATTGTAGCCTTGACCGTTCATTTGTTATAATTTGTTCGTTATGTTCACTCCTCATTCACCGGAATGACGAATATCATTCATTTAACCAGAATAATTTGATGCAAAATATTTGACAGAAATGGAATGCTTAGAGATCTCAACACAAGTCGAAATACTCTCCGCTCTTTGTCTGACGGCGCCTGAAGAAGCCTATAGGCGGGGGCCCAGTTATCAGTCTACTCCTCGCTGTCGTCAGGTGAGCATCACCACGTGTCTCTTTAATACCACTGCTTCGCTCATATTAGCATGGCATAGCGGTTTCAGCGTTTATTAGGTCGTAGGCCTGTCGCCTATTCTTATTTATTTGTCGCCTCACAGCTTATATCGGTCTCGAACTTTCTGCTCCAAATTCTGCTATACTTAACCGCCCTGCCTCCTCGCCGATTCAGACCAGAAACTGGCGCACAGAGCTGGGATCGAACCCGCGCCTCTCTGCTCCAATCTTGGTACTCTGAACTTTAACCACTGGGCCACTGTGGTTATAAGCACGTTATAGGCTGAGCACTTAGACGTGAAGTGCACGTGTTGGATGCCCATGTGCGTGAACAGAAATGTAATTTATAACTTATATACGCAAAATGTACAAAGTTCGAAGCTCATTTATAACATTGACACCATTTAATCTTCACTCGTTACTTTTGTTTGTCGTAGCCCTGACTTTTCCTTATTTTTTGTAAAATTTAATCAGCAAAAAAAAAATATACGTAATTATTCCAACATAAGTTTCGTCTTTCAAATTGTACTCTATTAAAAATTGTTCGTCACATAATACTTTTATAATATCGCAAAATCGTCTAATAGTCAATTCATGTGACATATTTTCATTTCCCTGCACAGTTTGCTGCTCTTGCGCCTCGCTAAAAGAAGCCTAAATCAGCAAAATGGATTCGCACCTCCAGAACGCCGCCCAGGCACCTCAGACAGGTGAGTGGAGTTTGCGCTTCATAAATTTTGTAGACTTTGTTTGATGTGCAATAGCTCTTTAATCAAAATCGAACTATGTGAATGCTACTTTCTTCTTGCATGTGAATTTAGCCAATTACGTCGCAACTTCGATCTCGCCTGCCGTAAGGTGAGCCATGTGCGCACCGACAGGTCAATTTATGCCTCGCTGCTTGGTGTGCAGAAGACTTTGCCGTAAACCAAAATTCAAAACGTGGATTTGGCTTTTCGCTTCGATGTTCGGCCGACCATTGCAGGAGTAACGTAGATTTCGACGGTGAGCAGCAGGAGCGTTTGCTAATAATTCCTTCAATTCAGTTGGTGTCAGTTTTGACGAAATGCTCGCTTCTCCAACGAATTACGGGACTCGTCAGGATGTTAGGAGAAATTTATAACAATATAGGAGTGGATCCATTTGGTATGTATGCTGAAGGCACAGCATCAATTTCTCCTGTAATCTGACATCGTGCATTAACCAACTGCTGAACTTTTATGAAAACCTCCGCAAGAGTTTAGCCGCTAAAACGCTAGCGAGGACAAGTCTGAGCCAATTAACATCATGACTGCCATGCAGTGCCGACACTGGGAAACTTGTAGCATCAATAAACTGTTTATGCTGCAAAGGCTCGTTGCAATTACCTAGGCCGTGTCCACCAGTAATTGAAGACTGTTGTAGTCATGGGTAGGGGGAGACTGAGTCAATATTCATTGTAGTTCCTGCCAGTGCTCGGTCCTCTGGCTGGTCGGGACTTGGCGAATGATCCATAGCCTGGAACGGTTGATTGGTGATATTTGCACAATTATCGTTGACTTTGAAGCCGTCCTGATTGCTTTCGACGACAGAATATCCCTGAATGACATTAGGAATTACGGACCCACTTTCAGTCCACGAGGTCATCCCGTGGGGCCAGCCGTCGAAATTGTATTGTGCAGATTTTTCCGGTCTGTAGCAAGAAAAGTTCTGCTCTTGAGGTGCGGTGGGCGATTGGGTGATTTCACTTTGATAGCAGTTGGAGGGGTAGGAGGTGGTGTAGTGCCATTTTCCCTTAAGAACATTCCGTAGGGACTTGCAGGGAGATATCCATGCTAATCAATGCGGGAGATTCATTTCATTCCCTTTGGAACTGTGAAGGGTCTGGTGTACACAAAATTGCTGCATCTCTGGGGCAATGAACGGCGCTGATGGCGATAGGCCTTGAGATGGGCCACCTGAGTAACGTGTCGAGTATGTGTTCATTCCAGGCATGTCCGCGATGTAAAGCTCGCTGTATTGTAACACCGGAGGCGAAGTACGGCTAAGCTGCCTCTGCTCGTCAACCCAAGCAGGAACACGTCGGCTGGATCGAATGTTCGCTTGCTATTCTATTCTGAAGATTGATATGAGTAACGTGGAAAACTGGCAAGATTTTCGTCTACTCTCGGACCATTCATAGTTGTTGCTAGTCGATGACTTCGTTCGGACTGACCAACGTTCGTCGGTGAAACGTGCGGAATCGGATAAAGATTCAAATTTTGGGGTCGCGATGGGCCAGCACGGTTGACGGAGTCACTGGTCCCAGGAGAGGATCGCTTGGACTTTTGGTTACCCTTGCGAGTTATGGTATAATTCTCAGGAGAGCAGCCTTCTTGCTGCAATATTCCGGGCAATTGGTGGCGTCGAGCGTTAATTAATCAATTGCAAACATGCAATGGGAAAATAGTTTTATTATCGATTCATTCAGATCAAATAATGAAATACCGTAGAATTTTCTAAGGTGACATTGTTACGGGGCCAGTATACCAACTGGGCGCAACAAGAGACTATCTTATCCGCAATAACCCAACCACAGTTCGTCACGCTTCTTGCACATCAGCACATTTACCGACAGGAGAATAAAGACAATCAAATGCAAAAACTCTCATTCAACAATGACAAGATGAAAAGAGCGTTTGTGAGTTGAAGCGAAGTCAAAACTTCGGACCACGATTTTGAGGTCTCTCTGTCCCGTATGGTGCCGCAGATCGAGTGATCCTAAATAGAGCTGCTACTATTCCGCAATACAGAGTGGATCCGGCAACATCGCACGGAAGTCTAAAGCCATTTTATTAGAAAATTATCAATGTTAGAGACATCTATAAAAGTTGCATTTCTCTCCTCTACAACATCTATCAGCTGATTCTGTTGTTAGCTGAAACAAAAACAACAATCCACGATTTGACACTATCTCTTGCATTTTTTTGTGTTTGAATAGAAAAAATTTAGTCATTGACTGTCTCAGGCCGGTGTAAATCCCAAATTTGCCCTGCCAGGCTCGACAATCTGAAAAAATTAACCTGCAGTATATTTTGCCCAGATTCCTTAGCCCGGGTAATTTTTTCCTCATCGGTGGGTTATGCCTTGTAGCGATGATCGTAGAGCCATTTCTTCAATATGCCCACGGACTCTTCATTCAAGTTGCCTCGGCGTTTCTTGCCGGTGATGTTGCAGCACCGGAGGCTAAGAACTGAACCAAATGTTCAAAATTGTCCATAACGTCCAGTCCTTCAAGACGAGCTCGTGGCAGAAGAAGCAGGCGAACAAGTCCCGGCGACGGAGCCTCCGCTGCCGTCACTGGAATACTCCTGGAAACGCTCTGCAAGTGACAAGAACTGTTAGTGGCGGGCTTTTGTGTACGCTAATTAGGACGAAGTCAAGTGTATATCAGAATAAACAAGTTAAATCTTGAATCAGTTGATATAAATGTGATCCGGTGAAAGTAAGGTAATTTATTAACTTGATAACTATGGCAAATGTTACAATAGTAGACGATGAGACTAGTGTCTCAAAATTGAAACCTGATGGTGGAACATTGAAAGCCGGGAACTATTTGATCACTCGTTAAGAAAAAAATGATGCTCAAGTATCAGAATATGCTGTTCCATTGCCATCTCTATATTGGGATCTTTATGCTTTTAAGCTGGATGACTGTATATTACTTCTAGTTTGTTCCATTTTGAGTGGCGATCATTAATAGCTTTTGATCAACAAATAAGTTCTAAATAGACGAGATGCAGCCAGCAGCGTCATAATTTAAGAGTCACCCATACTGTATCAATTTTCGAAGGCAAATATACGAGGAAAGGATCACCAAATTGAACCATCAAGCCCTAAAAGATACCCTATGTCTTCCTTAGTCTCTTAGTCTTACCCTATGTCTCCTAGTTCCCTGTAAATTCTCGACACTACAAGTCACCTACGGTTAAGTCCGCCAACAGGAGTAAGTAGCTCGTGTCTTCGGGAGGTGGAGGCAGTTGGACCACATTGCCTGGGCTGCCTTCCAATAGCACGACACGATGAGATCGAGCGCGCCGATCGTTCCGATTATTTTCACCGACCGCTCGACGTTGCCTGGTGGTTGTGCTGGTGGTGTCACTTGGCGGAGAGCCATCTTCTAGTTGCAGCTTGGGTAATTTTCTCCGTCGAGCGTTGACAGACCATTGATTTAACTGAAAATATGAATCCATTCTAGGTATGAATGAGCGATTTAACGCGATGCGACAAAACCAACATTTGATATCGTGTCAAATGTCAGCTGCTTCCTGTTCTCATCAAGACAGCAGTAAAATTAAATGCTGCTAAAATTGTTTCTCATAAACAGTTTATTATTATATAGTTTGAGAATGTTGAGTTTATATAAGACATCATACTTCACTATTTACAGAGTACGACAGAGTAACCTAATTCAATACCTGCGCAAGAGTCACCCCTGCCTCACAAACAAGGGCATCTTTTTCCTCCTCCGTGGGGTACGGATGGTGGCGATGCTCCGTCAGCCACGCCGTCAGGACGGCCTTGGCCTCTGGCCGGAGGTTTGGCCTTCTTTTTCTGGCGACGCTGGTGCCCTCGGGTGCCTGCGTTGGCTGGACGATGTTGCGTGTAGCGGCTGCGAAAATCAGAAAACTTCAGTGTATGAACAATATAATCTTTTTTTGTATACAAGACTTGAATGCATATATGCCAGAAATATTAATGTATCACGTCCAATTTAGATAGGGATTAACGAACTGATATTGAATATAAACAAGGTTTCTAGGCGTGCTGGAGTTGCAAAGGGTGCAGCAAATATTAATGTTTTACCATAAGGAATTCACTTTGGTTGAATCGTCCCAAATAATTTGATTCGCTGTGCACATTTAAAAAAGAAATTTTTTGGCGAGTCCGGCACATTGGACGTTTATTTGATCAAAATTTAATTCTGAACTCACTATGTATTCACCGAATTCATTCTGCAACATACATATGGCACAAAAATAATAGAAAACTTGCTACTTCTAAAATTCATTTGAACTGAGGCAGCGTCTTCTGGAGATAAGTCTTCAGCGAAGTCCTCTGAGCCGACGGCCGGATATTAATTTTGTGATGAGGCATTGTTTAATGTTGCGATGAGAAGTGAGCAACGATGATATAGATATTGCGAATTTCTGCCAGAAGTCGATCAAGACCTGAGGGTACCTGAGGATATTAGAATAGGGAATTAACATATAAGTTTCTTGATGGATTGTGATGCAGCAGGCGGTGTAAATATTTGGACGAAGAATGCTAGGCGTTTTTGGTAAAGAGTTTCCTGAAACAATTATGAGTATATGAGATAAACTGGAAAGTGGTTATAGAGCTGGATTAAAGATTTCGGGACAGTAAACCCGTAACATCGTCGGCTTTTCAATTATACTTAGTATTTACTTGAAATTAGTCCATCGAAAATAATGGCAACACTAAATGGTGATTTACCTAAATCACCAGATCAAAAGTTTTGATGATCCATGGCCAATAATTGTCGGAGAAAAAATTGGATTTGGTGATTGTACAAAGTTAATGAAACTCGAATGAAGTTACAAACAACGTATGTGGTGAAGTCTTGTCGCTAAGCATCAGAGGTGCGAGCCATTCAAATAAATCAATGGAAAGAGCGGCGTCAAACTATACAGCAATAGGAGTTAGAATTTGATAAGATTTTGTGAAATAAAACTTCACCAAGTAACGTTCTATTAACTCTCCACAGTAGAAGAACGCTCTGTTCATTGTCACATAACTACTGAAAAGTTTCCACTAAATACAAAGATTTCAATTTAGTGTTTTTTTTGCTAGATAATCAAAATCACGGCAAACCGTGATTGTTGATAAATTGGACACGAGTTAAATCTACAAATCTCAGTTACACGTCTGAGCGCTCAGCCTAACGATGCTCACCTGACGAGAGCGAGCGTAGACTACAACTGAGCCCTCGTCTATAGGCTTACAGGCGTCAGACAAAGAGCGGACGGTGTGACATTCTACTTGTGTTGAGATCTCCAAACTTTACATGCTTGTCAAATATGTTACATCAAATTTAATCATGAGTTAAATGAATGATATTCGTCATTCCAGTGAATGAGGAGTGAACATAATGAACTAATTATAACAAATGATCAGTCAAGTCTATAATTCGCCAGTTATTGTCAGACATACCGCGACCCAACCAAATAATCAGAGAACAAACACGAATTAAATAGCGACAAAATATGACCAATGAAAATTTAGCCTTCATCGGCGTTATTTTTAGTTAAGTAAATCACGATCATTATGGTGTCTTGATAGTATTTGTAATAAATGTTTATGTAACATTGGAACCTTTATATTAAATAGCTAAATTCATGTTGAGCGTTTTCAACCTTTCATACTGCAACATTCCTTGCTCCAATTAACGAGTCATAATCTCTCAATTTACCTGCTATTTTTGCGCTACAATAAATAACTTTTGTGAACTAAGTTTATGCCGTGGAAGCACAGAGATTTTTCCAGATCAACTGTCGGACAACACGTTTGGCTCAACGGTACAAAATCGCAATCGAGGAAAAATTTATAAGCTAACTTTCCCCTGTAAAGCTCCTTTACGCGAACCATTTTAATGGAGCTTACCTAAAACCTGTCTCTTATACACATCTAGATGTGTATAAGAGACAGNTGATGAAATTATAAATCAAATTACAGGTGTATTATGACCACGTGACATAATTTTTGATTGGAAGATTGACTGCGCTAGTGTGACCGTAATGGCGATCAGGAAATTGTGAAATATTCATACAAATTATTATTGATTACTTTGGTCATGGCAAATCTGAATTATGAAACATTTGACGTCGGAAATATACAAACTCACCCGAAATTTTCTCTACGTCAACTTCAGCTTCAATGCTGCCCCAGTAGGTATCCTGATGTGTTAAATGAGTGCGAATCCTTGCAACCACTGCATGATATTTGTACAAAATTTCTTAATGAATATTAGGGTGTGAATTTACGAAGGCTAATGCATGGATTTGCAAAACTACAGGACGAATAACAAAGTTTATAATGCTTTACTTCAGGGTGGCCCAGTGATTAAAGTTCGGAGTACCAAGATTGGCGCAGAGAGGTGAGGTGCGGGTTCGATCCCAGCTCTGTGCGTCAGTTTCTGGTCAGAATCGGCGAGGAGGCCGGGCGGTTAAGCAAAGAAAATTTGAAACAGGGAGTTGCGAGTTCAAGCCCGCAACAAGCTGTGGATGCTCTGCAATGTTGAGACTCGGCGACAGGCCTCCGGGCTAATAAACGCTGCAATCTATATATCATATATTATTATTACATAATTGCAGATATAAAATAATCAGAACATAGATAGGGCACAACTCAGATCATTGCATCTCAAATAAAAATTGATAAAACACATAGACAATTTTATTAATTAGCATCTTTGAGTGTGATGCCTATAGCGAATTTTTTCTAAATCGCAACAACGCTCCCATCTGAAACTCAGTGCGCAATGTCGTAGAAGTTAGCAAAAATATATCTAGCGTTACGCCGAGTTTATTGTGCTGTTGAGTGTTTAGCATTAAAAATAAATAAATTTATTGATATATTTTTACCCGTTTTACCTATTTCTGCTATCCCATAATCATGAAAGAAAAGGCGTGTCAAGCGCGACAAACCGTATGTATGGGCGTGCTTCAATTTTTTGGGTGAGGTAGTTTCTAATTGGTAAAAAATGACAATTTATTGATAATTCCTCATAAAAAACATTTAAGTAAAATGAATTTATAGATTGCGTCAACCAGGACAACAATAAGCAAAATGGTACCCTCAATACGAGTATTAGGTGATGGGAAAGCTGGATGTACAGTATCAAGCAATTACTTTGAATTTACCTGTTTTTTAGCGCATTTTCTCATGTATGGAAAAAATGCACTATTGTGCTCGCCATGTCCGTCCGTCCGTCTGTCTGTCCGTCCGTCCGTCTGTCCGTGACCTCAAGCTTTCATCGACGAGAAAATGCGCTCTCTGTCACTCACTGCAGCGAGTACTGAGTTATATTTTTACAATTTTACTTGTTTGTCTCTCGTCACCAATTCAAATTTCCAAAATACAGCTCTTAAAATCTATCTCCTCCGATGACTTTCGAGCTACAACATTGAGAGACTTTTCATTCTATTTGCGAAGAAAATATCTTGCGACTCTACAATCTTTATATTATTTATCTATTGTTTGCATTATATATTGTAAAAATATAAGGAAATGGTGGCGGACGGGTGGGGAAAGATAGAAAAAGTCTTCTAAAAACATTTGACGAGGGGCTTCTATACAGCTAGAGTATAGAATATAAAGTATTGCGACTATAGAGTCGCAGTCGCTAGATATTTGCATTACGAATCGAATGATAAGTTTCTCGTTCTTGTAAACGACGTAAATAAAAAGAGACTATAAATTTATAAGTCCTTCTTTTCCCCCGTTGATTATAGGTTTCACGTTTTCTTTCATTTTTTCAAACAATTCATACAACAAGTTCTTGCATTAGTGTTTTACATTTGTATGAAGTTTAAGAAAGGTCGGTCAGTGAAAACAAAATTTACCCAGAAGGTCTCCTTAAGGAGTTTATGAATTTATTCAATTCAGAACGGTCTGAGATGTCCTATGGCTTCCGTGTGTTTTTAGGTAAGCTCGCTCTATCCAAAAGGCAAGCTGTCACAAAATTTTCCTGGATTGCGATTTAGTAACTTCGAGCCACACGTGTTGTCCGACAGTAGATCTGGAGAAATCTCTATGCTTTCACAGCAAAAAGTCAGTTCATAAAAGTTATTTATTTGCAGCGCAAAAATAGCAGGTAAATTGAGTGATTATGAATAATTAACAGAAGCAAAGACTGTTGCAGTATGAAAGGCTGAAAACGCTCTACATGAATTTAGCCCTTCAATGTAACGGTTCCAATAATACATAAACATTCATCACGAATACTATAAAGATACCATAATGATCGTGATTGACTTTATTAAAAGTAACGCCGATGAAGGCTAAATTTTCTTTGGTTATATTTTGTCGTCATTTAATTTGCGTTTGTTCTTTGTTTATGTGATTGGGTCGCAGTATGTCCGATGGGAACTGGCGAATTGTAGCCTTGACCGTTCATTTGTTATAATTTGTTCGGTATGTCCACCCTTAATTCACAGGAATGACAAATATCACTCATTTAACCAGAATAATTTGATGCAAAATATTTGACAGAAATGGAATGCTTGGAGATCTCAACACAAGTCGAAATACTCTCCGCTCTTTGTCTGACGGCGCCTGTAGAAGCCTATAGGCGGGAGCCCAGTTATCAGTCTACTCCTCGCTGTCGTCAGGTGAGCATCACCACGTGTCTCTTTAATACCACTGCTTCACTCATATTAGCATAGCATAGCGGTTTCAGCGTTTATTAGGCCGTAGGCCTGTCGTCTATTCTTAACATGGCAGAACATTCACAGCCTGTTTCGGTCTCAAACTCTCTGCTCCAAATTCTGGTGTGCTTAACCGCCCTGCCTCCTCGCCGATTCTGACCAGAAACTGGCGCACAGAGCTGGGATCGAACCCGCGCCTCTCTGCTCCAATCTTGGTACTCAG